AGCAGATAGTCAGTCTTTAGTCCAAGCCTGGGGTTTGATACAAATGCATTTCTGAAATTGAGGAGGAATTTATGCGTCCAGCACTGAGCTTGGGTGCAAATGTAAGCCTGATGAAAATCCAAGCTAAAATGGGTCATTCCTATCTATTTCTTTTGTTTCAGTAAAGGTTAGTATCCAAAATAAGCGAGAAGCACAGGGCATGGAAATTGCATTAGGCTTGTGAGGCTTTTAGATATGATCAAGGAAAGCTGTGGAGGATAAAGAGTGTCTGGATCCTGGTTGTGTGTGCTGGCTCAGTGTAGCTGTGCTCAGCCTAACAGTCTGTAAGAATCAATTTCCATCCGTGGCTCTGAGTGCTCGCCTGCAGGAGAAGGACTAGCACTAGGTGCTGTGTTTTGCCGCTGGGGAAACTGAGGCAGGATAGGAGTAGATCGTAGCAAAGCAGGTCCCTGGCTGAAAATTCACCTCCTGCCTTCCAGTCCCTCTCTACTCCTCCCACCCCTCTGTGCAATTGCTCTTTTACAGGGTGTCAGGAGCTGGGGGTGAGCGATTTCAGCGGCTCTTTCTCTCTCCATATCTGTACGGCTCATTTTGAAGAGCTGGACTGAAAGGTTGCATCCAACGTTTCAGAGTTGAGCTTTTACAGGAGGAGTTCCTTTGACTTCAAGGGAATCGCTGAAGATTTACGGCCGCTATAGCCCCGATCTGCATGTAGCCGTATGCGTGGTGCATCTGGAGAGCCGGTGTTATGCTGCGTAACGAACCATTTCCATTCCAAAAATTTAACTGACACAAATAGACCAATGTCCTTCGTTAAATCAGCTTGAAAGCGATTATTAAAAACAGCCAACGAGGCCGAATGCACTCCAGCAAGGAGCAGACGTGCATGAGAGCTTGTGTATATAATTTGGACAGTGCTGATGCTCAGATCATAAGCGTTTTTATTGTGGAGAGTGCAATCTATCAGCGTGTCATTGAGGATTTTATATTTGTTTTGGGGCAGGGCTGCCCCAGTTTTTAAACAGTGGCTCTGTCACTCAGCAGGTTGGCCAACCCTTTGTTCTTCTGTTAATTCACACAAGCCTCAATTAAACAAATTTATAATTTGTGGGCTAGGAGTTAAGAAAATTATCTTGTTCAATAATTAAGTTGGGAAGCCTGGAGTTTCAGAGTTGAGAAACAAAGCGCTGTCACATTTAGTTCCCCAGTAATCTTTGCTTCGTAGCCCCGTGGATTTAAATGATTGCTGGCTGTCAGGATCTCCAGCAAATTGCCAGATCGCAGTCAGAGAGATGTGCTTCTCGCTGCAGCGATAATCGCCTTGGCACAAGGCGTTGCTTAAATACAGTTGTGCACGCTCGGCTCCGTTACAGCGGCACGGAAATTCAGAGCACGCCCAGCACCGTTGCTCTGGATTTGTACCAACGTAACCAAGAATAGCTGAGATGCTTTTCAAAAGGCTTCTGCCTCTCAAGGTGTTTGGCCAAATCTATGTGGCATGATTAGGATGCTAAAAGCACCCTTATTAAAGACTAATTAAGAGGCAGCTTCGTTGATGCTGCTATTGCAGGGAAGTTGGTGGAAGAGCTCAGGGTGTACAATAGAATGGTTTCCTTTTTTAATGCTTGATGTCTTAATAACTGTCTTCATGTATTACTGAAAAATATGACATGACCGCCCTAATCAACTGTTCACATTTTTTAAGTGGTATCAGCACTGTTAATTAACTCAAGTTTTAAGAAGCTGGGGAAGTTGAAAGCTGATGTGCTTTCATTCGGTGTGCTGCTAAGCTGATTTTCATTGATTTGTGCTTGTGAATTAATCAGCTATCCGAGCACTTAGTTATTCCATTTGCCTCTGTGCTTTCTTTGCTTGTAAATGATATCTTTGAAGTTTATTAAAAGAATGAGTCATGTTGTAGCTTCCTAAGAATTTTCCCCCTCTGTAGTCATACATTTTTCATGCTGCTCAAATAATAATCTGTATAATGAACGTGGGGAAAATATTGCTATATGGAGCTGTGTCCATACGGCTGAACTTTGGAGATACATGTCCCATTACTTGCGTGGCTGGCTGCTTTAATATAAAAACGTTTAAAATCTTTTTTCAGACTCTCAGAGCCGATCTAAGAAATTAATGTACTTCCCTGTTTAATGCTCCCCCAACTTGTCTGCGGTTGTGCACAATCAACCTGTGTCCACACTGGCTCTGAGTTATGGTGCGTGGCTCTGATCTCCTTTGCTTGGGCAGATTAATAGAGAAGGTCCCTGATAAACTTACCAGTGAGAAAGCAATTGCTTCCAAAACTTGTACAGTTCCTAATTAGCATGAGTCTGTTTCTTTTGTAGCCCTGTTTAAGCACTGCATGGTTCACCTTGCTCTAATTTTAGGTGTTTGCGAAGGATCTGTCTCTGTTTAGTGCTGGACGTGACGTGTTCGGCTTTAACGGAGGTGAGTTAGGTCTTTGGAGTGCAGCGTCGGCTGGGACCAGGTGCCGTAAACATAGCGTGGATGCAAATGCCACTTAAAAGAAGTAGAAGAGTTCTTCACAGAGGAAAAACACAAGAATGCAAAACATAATCATCCATAAAATTGTGTGCGCTCTGCTTTAAAGACCCGTGCTGGATGGGATTTTGTGACTGGAATAAAATAGCTCAGCCAAAGAGCAAAGGTGATGAAACCACCTAGAGAGATACAGAGGAGTTGGGCTTTAGTCTAGAAGAAAAGCCGTTTCTTGGGTGAGTTTGCCATTTTGAGTGCTGGTGGGCTTGTGACCTGTGTTGTGATACCACAGGTTAAACCAGTTGGAGGAGCCTTTGATGAATTTTATCTGGAAATAAATAAGCAAAAAAAATCTCTGTAAGCCTCATGCTCTTGAGCTGATTTATAAGAATTTTCCTGACTTAATTAATGATGGAGCAAGGTGGTAGTGAGTTTGAGGTCACGGCTAAGACCAAGTTCAGGAGGTTCAAGGGATCAAATCTCCAACTTGGGAGCATCTCAAAATGAGGAGGCTGGAGTGGGGTGTGAGAGAACTTGGTGGGGTTGCATTTGCTGACCAGTGATTGCTGCAGGGCATGGAGCTGGCTGCTGCAGGGGGTGGGTATTGCAGTGAGCCAGAGGCTTCTGTTGCAAGTAAATCACGCAAACCAGCAGTGCAGGTGCCTTGGCTGTGTGCAGGGCACAGCAGGAACATGTGTCCCTCTCTGTCGTGATCTCCTTTGGTCTGTTTGCTGTGTTGGGTGGTTGGGAAGGGAGCTGAAGCAAGACCCCAAGATTTCTGACTTAATACAATTAAATCCGAGATGAAGGTGCCTTTTGAACAATGCCACTTCTAACTTAATGCCTGGTTTTGAGTGTGCATCCAGAAAATAATCAGAAAAGCTGTTTCCCCAGGGACTGGTGCTCCAGCCTGTTCACACCAGTGAGTTACAGAGCTCTGCAGACCCGCGTGCGGTGGGAAACTTCTCTCCGTGCGCTGCCCAAAGGATGCTCGTGGTGCTCGTCGCGTCAGCCTGCACGTGCAGGGTGCTTCCCACCCCACGGACTAGGGGTTTTTTGGGTGCAGGTACAGCGTGCCAGCACTGCGTGACCTTTATTTCTGCCAAGTCAGGGGAGATCAGGAGCGAAGGGACTTTGGGGGCTGGTGAGCGATGGTGCTGGCCTTTTGGCTGGCAGACAGCGTCGAGTGGGAGATCCACAATCGGTGCAAATCAATCTTATAAAAAAATCCCTCGATGCTTCCTGTGGATGTTCACTCTGGGGCAATTACTTCAGCTCTCAGCATTTCACAAGCCAGCACGGACTCTTTATGGAGTGGTAGGATTATAGAAATTCCTCAATTGTTCTGGTGGCCTTTGACCAACACAACACAAGCTGCTTTTTAATGTCAAGTCAGTTCTACTCATCAGTAAACAATAAGAGTTTCTCTACAGCACCAGCTTAAGCCAGGATTTTCACCCGCCCTCTGCGTGTGCGAGAGGTGCAGGCAGAGATGGGCTTTTTTCCAAACAGTTCTCAGTATTTACTGAATTAACTTAAGCAAAAGATAGTGAGATGAGTTGAAGGGAGTTTTTACCAATGCCTTCATATTTTGCCATGTGTGTTTGTGTACTCAGCCCTGAAAAATAATCTGTGTACAGACTGCATCTGCACTGGCTTTACTGTGCCAATGTCATTTTTGTATCCAGCTCATGGCCCTCGATATCCAGGGGGACTTCAGAAGACCTCAGCGTTCACAGACATCCTCTGCTTTGTTTCACTTTTGCACTATTTAATTTTTTCAGGGTGACTTTGCTCTTTAGGCTCTCAAGAATCATACACTTTGCACATGCACAGAGAAGGGTGTTTTCCACACTTACAGATATATTCCCCCCCCCCTCTTTTCTTTTGATGGAAAGGTGTTTAAAAGAGATCTGCTGTTTCTCTGGGCTCAAGCCACTGCTACCCTGCCAGCATCTGCATCCCCACCTTTCTCCTAATGAGCCACATCTCTGCCAGTGCTCGGTCTGGGCACTGCTGCCCTGTGGGACTCTGCTCAGCCCATCCGCACATGGATGCGTGATGCTTTAGAAATGCCCATTTCTTACACCAAAGCTGGGAATATCTTAATTTTTCTATAAAATGACCAGTAGTTGGGAAGAACCTTGAGATCTCAAGATCCAAACAACCACGTGACTAAAACTGAGCGTTTTACTCCAAATCTCCCATATATATGTTCATAGCATGCTTGGTTACGGTTACCTGGGTCTCATTGCACGGGCACCATGGGGAAGATGGAAGATGGGTTTTGGAGTGCAGGGACTGTCTTTTCATCTTGATTGCTAAAATGCTCTTGATCTGGGGCAGTTACAGTGATTGTCTACAGCTAAAACAGATGGTTTTATTTCTCTGGTAATTCAAGTGAACAGCTGGAACCAGACCATTTTCAGATGTGCCAGTGCTGCCCTGAGCTTGGGAAGGGTTAAGCTGATGGTGACAGTTTCTGTGTTTCTTTTCAGGGCGTGACATACTGCGGTGAAAGCTCAGCCAGCAACCTCACCATGGCCAATGTTCCCTGGCACGAGGAGGTGGTGCGATTCGTCCAGGAGCTAGCCGAGCTCGTCCCCGACTATGAAATCGCGTGTGAGCACGAACACTCGAACTGTCTCCTGGTGGCTCACAAGAAGGTGAGATGCTGCCAGGGTGAGAGACCAGGCACTGTATCTTCTCCTTGGAACCGCTGCACAATTGCCTTGTTCCAACACTC